CAGCATAAATGATTGCAAAAAAAGATAGATTTATAATGATCAAAAGTAGAAAAAATGAAAATAACTATGCGTAAAAAGACTTCAAATAAATTTAATTATAATGTAGAAACATTACCAATGATACGTTGCAAAAGCAAATGCTAAGCACGTTCAATTTGTTTTTGAGTAACACTATCTGCCCAATAAATACAAAGAAGAACATTGGCATATGGAAATCGTTGTTGATTTGACATTTGAGCATTTAAAACAATGCTTTACTTCATCTGGTACGATCTCATCTCGTTCAACAACACACCGAATAGCCTTAGAAAAACAAAGAAAAACCAGTTGATAAATAAATACAAAGATTAAATGATTGAAAATGAATACTTCTTTCGAAGGAATAGATGCAATTCATATTTCATTGACTGCTATAGTCCACTTTGCATTAAGTAATACAGTTGCATCAAATACAATTACTCGTTTACCTTATAGAATTAATTTGTGAACATATCAAGAGACCAGTTTACCTTACTATCTTCCTTAAATAAATATTCAATATGTTCGTGTACCAAATTTAAAATAACAGACCTGACAATATCAGTTAGTTTTTTCATTTCATCAAATGACTGAAGCGACTTTTTTTATCAAGAACTTTTCGATCAATTGATCGATCAATGGAATTAACAATTTGTTCACCAAATGTTTCGATTATCTATTTATATACATCAGTATCGATCTTATACGTTTGCTGGCCTGCATAGATTTGTTTAAATGATCTCTCGGCTGAAGTGATTTTCAATGATTAGAATAATGAAATAGTCACCTAGTTTATCACAATCAATAATAGCAGCATCAATCTTTTCTATTCTACCAGCGATACTTGATTTTTCTGAATCTATACCATCAGTAAGACCAATAATATACGGTGAATTTGATTTGGCCTATTACTATAAGAGATAATAAGAAGGATACTAAATATTTGTCGTCGAAATGAAGTTGAACTTAATTTATTATCTCCATCTTGATTATTATTATCAGCTGGAATCATTGGTAAAACATGAACGGCTAATTGAGATAAACCATTTTCTTGTCTTTGTTTATTAACTTGTAAAGCACCTTGTCGTGTTTCAACAGTGGCAATAATACACTACATGATCAAAGTAAATATTTATTCTAATTATTTAAAATAAACTTTACATTCAAATCGGTCACTGTTGCTGATGGATCACAAAGATTTTCGATTGATTCATAATATGCATCAATACTTGGTCGAATTAAATCAACAAATGAACAAACATTTGACATATGATCAGCAATAGGTGCAATAACTTAAACTAATACCGAAATAAAATCAATAGTTTCAATACATAATCTATCAAAAGTTCAAAATGAAGCTTCAACATTTTAATCCTCTTTTAAAACAAACTACTTTTTCCTGTATCGTAATATCATCAGTTACACCAATAACAATCTTTTTATTACAATGTAAAGCACTTTCTGTAAACAATAATTTGTGAACATTATGTGATCTATTAAATGTACCTACAAGAAAAGCAACAAGCTGGATTCACATTAAATATATATTGACTTACCACCTAAAGGATGTGGGTGTGGGTGAGTTTGGGCACAGATGATAGCGATACCCACACCCTATTTGAACTCCTCACTGTCGACGACGGTATCGCAGTCAATTATTAGTGAAACCCGCTCGAAATTAGATCAAAAGTTCGCGAATCGCTCGATATGCATAAATGATGTGTAAATATACTTTTCGATAGTTGGTAGCGCATATAGATTCATCGAACACTTCAAGCACTGCGCTTGAGAACTGGTTATATTTTATCACACTTACAAGATATTTCACAGGGGCTAGAATTAAGCAATAGATAAAGCTCGTGCAAAACAGGTAAGACAACATGAATTAACATAGATATAAAACGAAGAGAGAGAGAGAGAAAAACTGAGATGGCTGAACTTTTCACCAACATTACTCTGATCAGCAAATGTTGTATTATGATAACCATGCAGAACTTTTCGATTGAATTCATCAATATAATTCGTAATAAATTCAAAAGCTTGATCAATAGTCATCTGAATTTGTGATGGATGACGTTCGATGACAACATCCTTTTTCATAGCATCTAGTTCTTGTCAACATAATGGACACAGACTTCGATCATTAGGTCGATCACAATTTTCAAAGTCGAACATCCACAAACACTCGTATGAACATCGAAGAATGTACCTTTCTCGTTGACTTACCTTGTTTAATCTGAGACGTTGATGTACTTGTGTGTGTACATTGATCATTTGTGTAACGATCGAATTGTTGATCTGAAGTCCAGATAAGCAGATCGATGTTCGTAAGTGTTTTGTGTAGTTCTCAGAAATGTTGAGATTTCGATCGGACAGTAACTATTTATCTCCCACCAATACATGTATGCATTAGGAGTCTCATTTTACAGCGAATTCAAGTAATTATTCATAACATCAAATTTTTTGTCGCATTTGTATAAAAACACATGCCAGGCATCGTGCGCTTCCCCGTAAGCATTTTATGAAAGTGCACTATAGGATTGTGTCATTAAAAAAACGAGCACATGTTCTGTAAAATTGTTTCTTTCTTTTTTCGTATGTCGACAGCCAATAGGAAAAGCGGTGAATGACAAATCCTTTGATAAACTGACAGCCATTGAAATTTTTTTTTTATTTTCATTGACTCATATGAGCAAATTTCGATGGATTTTTCTTTTTTATACTTCTATCGCTTGTCATCACTGCGAATGTCGCATTTTTATTTACATGTTCTTTAATCATCACCGTATTGGCACAAAAAAAAACAGTCGATGTCGTTTGCTACACAAGAAAAAAATGAAAATGAAATTATAACGATGATTCTGTACTATTAAGAGGTGCATAGATACATCTTTGACAGATCTTCAACATCAAATAGCTCATCACTACAAATTTAATTTCTGAAGAATAGAGCTGACACCTTTTTGTTTTCTACTACCAATGGGAAATGCGACGAGCGAACAAGAGAAAGAAGAATCGATTCTTCGTAATCCTCAAGAAGGTAAAGCGTCCAGCTTTTACTGGGCATGTCGACATGGTGATCTCGATTTAGTTAAAAATATTTTTTCATCATCGAAATTCAACGATATTAATTGTCTAGAGCTGAATGGAAGTACTGGTTTACATGCAGCTTCATATAATGGTCATGTTCATGTTGTTCAATTTCTTCTTCAAAATGGAATTTTTCGACATCAAGGAAATCGTTATGGTTTTACTGCACACGAAGAGGCAAAAAATGACGAGATTCGTGAACTGTTTCATCGACCAACTGGTTCGCAACGTTTTGCTACCGATACAGCAGATGATACTCGACAGCTATTTAATACACATGTTGAACAGTCGACAGACAACAATGAGACACCAGAGAACAATTGGATCGGTGGAGCAAGTGACGAAACGTCAATTGGTGGTTTTCAAGCGCTTTGCCATGTAGGCAAATATATGGTAACCTCATCTATTCTTCGACCATTATTCATGAATATTCTACGTCTGAAAGATTATCCAGATTTTGCATACAACGAAAAATTAGCTGTCGAAGGATTGCAACGTATTATCGACAACCATGTTACTTCATCGCATCCTGAGTATCAAAAGGCATGTTATCTTCTTTCCAAATACGATAAATCCAAACAAGTTAAATATCTTCTGCGTCTCTATTCGCTTGAAACACCTTTTTATCGACATCTTGGCATAGATCAACAATCACATTGTTTGGTGACGCCAATTTTTTTCCACCTGGACACATTGAAAAATCGTGCATTTCAAGGGGTTTTATATCGTGGTTTATCAATGACTGAAAAAGATCTACAACCATATAAATGGGCTTTAAAGCAGAAAGAAAGTGTTCTTATGACAGAGACTTTCTGTTCAACATCAGTTGATCAAAATGTAGCATCTAGTTTCAGCGAAAATGTTTCTGAAAACAAAATTGGTGTTATGATGATTTTCAAATTTGCAAAAAAATGTGATACAGCTATTCAACTATTTACTGTATCCGAGAATCTACCTGGAATATCTGATTTTGAAAATGAACATGAAGTCCTTATCTTACCATTGACATTCTTTCATGTGACAAATATTGATATTAACAAAACTAATGGTCAAACAACAATCTATCTTGAAAATCTTCGAACAAAAGGAGGATTCTTGACATTGCTAAAAGCTAATTGGGACTTGGGCAATAGTTCTGATTGATCGCAATTTCTTTTATATAAAAATTCCATGCACAAATTTTTTCCTACTCGATAAAACACTGTTGCTCGGACTAAAGTTTCAAGAGAATCAATTTAAGAGCCATGAATTATAATGTCTTCATTGCATTCATCGACTTCTGTGTTCCAAGGTGTTTCGTATCCGTCAGTTTATTCATGCGCTAATTATTTGCGTAGGAAACAATGGAAATGGAGTTTTAAGGAAAATCGTTTCCCAAGGCTTTGTGGGGAAGGGGACGGGGTAGAGCAAGAATCCTAGACTTGAGCTCTATTTGCCTCGAAATCCTGTTGGTAGTCGAAGAACCGATGAAAATAGAGCTCTAGTAAGGAAAAGTTAAGTAAACGTATGGGAGTGAGGACAATTTGAACCGATGGTATCGGTGTGGCTTGAAACAGTATTTCCATTCTCCAAAGGATGAGTCTTCAAAGCGGTACAAGCTTTCATGTGTATCTGTGCACATATTGATGGAAATATATCAGCCAATCAGAAGTGAACTCCGACTAGGAAAGCACTTCATAATGCCAGAAATTGATGTTTTATGCAATACGGATAAGTTTCAGGTAATTAAATTTTACTCTGTTGCATTTAGCGAATCAAAACATGTCTTTGAAGTTTGATAGCCAACAAAATTCCTTGGTTGTACTTTAGTGAGTCAAATGTCTTTATTCTATGGTTCTTTTACTGAACCAAAGGGTTAACCACACGAACACTTTTCAGTTTGTACCTATCCAACTAAGCAGCAGAGAGTAAACACTCAATCAATGAAAATTGCGCAACTTTGGCAACAGCGCACTGTGACAGCTGAATGATCATCATGATCTAGATTTTGTGGACTGCATAAGTGCAGAACCCAGATGGGTGATCCGGCTTTTCGAGTTTAGATGAGTCAAGTTACCACGCAACACACAAATATACTCACACAGATTCAATCTGACGATGAAATAAAATAGAGTCGGAATGAAGAAACCACTGAGGAGACGTTCTGGTAATTAGACTTACTTGAAGACCTTTCAGACACGTAAAACTGAAGCATGCACTACTGATTTTACGTGTTTTACCGCAAAGTTGATCATTAACAAGCAAGACGTCGTATTTGTCCGTCTCTTGTGGAACTTTCTCTCCTGAAGAGCCGTAAACTCGTAAACCCGAAACGAAATCTGAATGGTCTTTTCGGGATTTATACTTATGTGTTCTAGAGAACTTGATTTCATGGTCGTAATCTGTGTTTTTTGAGTTGTCTCAAAACTTAGTAGATGACAGCTTCTGATTAACGCAATAGGTGTTCCGTGTAGAGCGTTTTCGGTAGAAAATTACATGTCGATTTGACCAATTGTGACGATTTTTACTGAAATTTGTACACTAAACACAAAGGCAAACAACTTTCATATTTCACTGGATCATTCCATTTTCTTATTTGAAAGTTGAATAGTTCGGTTCATTTTGATAAATTCCCAAGAAAAAAAGTTTTCTTTCGATGAAAACGAAATCTCGATTGACATAGGCAGAAAGAAGAGATTGAATGAATCTACTCGATAAGAAGAATATCATCGAAAAAGATGCATTCGTAAATATGAAACTTGATTGATCGATTTTTTTGTTTCTCCATATCTATTCATTGACAAGTTCAATTTCAAACGAAAATCTACAATCTGATTGATGATCAATTCTTCATAAATTATTCATTGCCAATTTATATTCAAAATATAATCGTCAATCATTCACTTTTCTCTAAGAAAACAATCAATATAGTGTCCAAGAGGTCTCAGCCACCATCAAGGAGAAACAATACCTGAAATAATGAATTGATGTAAAAATATTTCTTGTTAAAACATGATTTCAATATGAAATCAATAGTTTGAATGATAATCATTCGACAATCTCTATTTTAACAAATAACAATCAGCGAGATAAGTCAACAAGGGCATTAACTTACGATCAATAGAGACCCTTTCTTGGTAAAACAAGTGAAATGTCTTTGAATTCCATTATCAAGTCGAAGATTCTCGTCGGCAACAATTCTCTTTTTCAATTCGATCGATTGATTGTATCTCGCTTTGGATCGTTTCGAATTCTTCCCTGTTCTGACTTCTGTGGAATTTCTTTTCTTCCTTTTTCAATTCGATAAAAAATAAAACGATTTTCGTCAGATGATACAAAAACAAAACAGATTTCGTTCCAATGATGTTCTTGACAAAATGAATACTCGGTTAAATTATCTCATCGTAGATTATTATTATCAACCAATCGAAGATTGAACGAAAACAGTAATCAGACTTTTAATTGACTGAAGCCTGTTCAAATTAAAGATGCGCCAATTGACAAAAAGAGTTCGACATCGGTGTTAACATCAATGAACCATGGTGATCATTATTTTGAAGATCAAAGATTTAGAAAAATCAAGATTGAGTGAAAATCTTCAAAAATGGAGACTCGATCAANTCATCGTAGATTATTATTATCAACCAATCGAAGATTGAACGAAAACAGTAATCAGACTTTTAATTGACTGAAGCCTGTTCAAATTAAAGATGCGCCAATTGACAAAAAGAGTTCGACATCGGTGTTAACATCAATGAACCATGGTGATCATTATTTTGAAGACCAAAGATTTAGAAAAATCAAGATTGAGTGAAAATCTTCAAAAATGGAGACTCGATCAATTTTTTTTTACATTTAATCTCTAAAATTCTCGAAATCAGGTCAAAATCGGTGATTAAACGCGATAAATCGTCGATTTTTTTCTGATATTGTCAATGATGTTGTTGATAGATCGTGATTTTTCCAGTGAGAACATTATTCGTAATTATTTATTTATTATACGCCAAAAGCAATCAAATTACAATGAGTACAAACACTAGGTACCACAAAAAACTATGTGAATAGTAGAAAAACATTCCTATGGAAAGCACAGACACTACTACTTACCATTGCGATAAGGTGTGGGTATGGGTACAGTTCTTCTCTTCAGTCGCAGCCGTATACTCATACCTACACCCACACACGTAATACTTTTCTTATTTTTCGACCAAGGTTCAATAAAAATATGCGACTCGTGATCAGCACGATGAGTTCGATCAGGCTAGATACAAAGCTTTTGAATTAAAGATAATGAATTATTTTCAATCTCTACGGTGCAGTTCAAGCACAAAAAATTGTAAAGTCAGATTTCAAAGATTTGACTCAAAAGAAACACTCAGAAGAGCATCTCGATAAATGTGCAATAGTGATTTGTTTCAATGTCGTGAAATGAAAAATAGTAAAGCTGCCAATTTTCCTTTATCAAAAAAAAGGTGAAATAATATAATAATATTTCATAGAATCAGTCAAACAAATAAGTGAAATGATAAGACCAAAGTAAATTTTAATGAATATCGGCAATTACATCAATGGTAAAGTTAGCAGTATAGTTCATATACTTCGCATTGCCATTCTGATCGAAATATAGAGGCGACCAGTAGACAAAATCATGTCCTTTGGCACCATCTGGTGAACTTTGCCATCTATTGCCTTGCCACAAGTAACTATAACTTTCATCTCCAGTAGTTTTAAACTGTAGAATGTTGTACTGTTGAGCATGACCTTCATTGCCTAGATTATTCATTGTTACAAAAGGTCCAAGAGGAGACGAAGAATTATAGACAGTGACAGAGGATCCTTCTGCACAGTAGCAACAACATTGACCGAATACTGCATAATAGATTCCATTGCGTTTGAACATTGCCGGGGCTTCGACAAAAGTCTCACCAAAATATCCACTATTGAACTCTTTACCTAGTGAACTGAGATAATCATCGGACAACTTCTCCACAGACATTAAATGGTTGGGATTGTAAATACTACCATCAATATGCGCAGTATAAATGATATAAGCATCTCCGTTATTATCTTGAAAAAGATTCAAATCACCCGTATTTTCCCATGCTAGAGTAGTAACCTTTTCGGTGACCAGTTGAAAGGGGCCTTGTGGTGTATCTGATATGGCCACAGCATATTGCGACTGAGAGACACCTGTACCTGTAGCAGGTAGAAAATTAAACCACATAACCCACTTCTTCGTCTTAGGATTTGGTAAAACACGAGGGCAAAACATTATTCCTTGAGTCTTCATTGAAGACATTTGAAAGGCATATCCACGAAATGTCCACGCAGAAAGATCTATCGAAGTATAGAGACTAACATTATGATTGAGTTGAAAGCCGCATCCACCTGGGTGCCATTCAGTACAACCTGATGGACCCGGAGGTTCTTTGCATAGACCATAACTTGCACCATAGTAGTAATAAAGGCCATCATACAGAAAGACACTACCATCATGAGCATCCATTATATTTCCGTCTGTATCTCGGCGAGGAATTACATTACTGATTGTTACTTCACGACATTTGATGACTCTGACTACTGCAGTCGAAAGTATAATGACGACAATAAGATTTGCGAGCATTATTGTGATGCTAAATTTGAAAAAAATGAAAGGGAAATTATTATTCCTTGTTTTTAGACAGTAGCGCGATTATCTCCAGACAATTTCTCAGTCTCTGTTAACGATTCTCGATGAAATAGAGATTATGTCACAGATCGACATAATGTCTTTTTTTTTGGTCTCAGCGAATTAATTTTTCCATTTTCTTCCAGATCAGGCAGAATGCTTCAAACTTATAACTAACTACTTGTGATGAACTCTTCCGCATTGCCGTCTTACCTGTGGTATTCGCTAATTGAACAATAATTGATTCTTAACCAAAGGAGGCAATTTTTCAAACTTTTGTATGTTCGATGATGAATGTGAAAATTAAGACATCTTTTTCTTACTTCTTATCACTTTTTCTATTTTTCTTTCTCAAGTTATCATTCTGTTGTTATCTCCTTAAACAAAAGTAGCACCGATAAATTATTAGATGATGTCTTACCTCAGAGAAGAAAACTGATAAGTAGAATAAATAATTCTTTGTGCTTGAAGCAATAATGATAAGGCTTTCGGTAACACCAGCTCGTAGAAGGGAGAGAGCGAGTTATTCTGGTTTTCATACATATTTCTGATAGTCGATGCTCTATCATACAAATTCAAGTATAAGCAATCTTTTCTTTATCTCAAATGTTTGTTGCTCTGAAATGAAAAAGCTGTTCCAAACGTTTGCTCTCTAAATATTATCGACTGGTAGTGCTATTGATGAGTCAGTATTTTTGAGACTTTCCCTTGATTCAAATGACTGACGTTGTTGTTTTCGTCGATGATGGAGATGTATTGCTACGAATGCAACTACTAGTGTGAGAGCAATACAAATTGTAACAGCAATTACTGGAAATAGACTAATATGACTGGCTTCAGACACGCTGATCGGATCCAGTCAGATACTTTCCAGGATATTTCGATTATTTACACTATTTTTCATTGATATTTGCATACGAAATTTACTGACCCTCGATCGGATTTATGAAGTCGGAAACGATCAGCTCCGTTCGATAAGATGGGTGTTCATCTACACCAACAGACACAGTTACGCCCTATTACGAAATAGAAAAACAAAGTTCACAACACTTAGATAGTATTGCACATTTGTGTACATTATAAAAATAAATAAATGTGCAATTAATTAGGATGCTCATCGATTGAAGTTATTAAAAAAGTCATTTTTGTCTAATAGATACATGACCAAATGCAAGAGACAAGCAAGTCATTGCCACTTCTCTTAATGTCTGAAATAAATATACATATCTGTAATAAAAGAGAATTTTTCATTTTATAAATTTATAGAAGCTTTAAATACATTTCTATCATAGGTAACACATCATTCTCTTTGAATATTGAATCGAATAATCTTTTACGCATATCAAATGAAACTTTATTATATGACTACATAGACTAGTATCCTTCTTTCAATTTTATGATGTTACATATCGAATTAGAAATGAGTACAGAAAAATATTTTTTTATCCTGCGCCTTATCTTCTGTGAATAAACAGGATGAAACTCACAGAGAATATACTCACATGTTCAAGTCAATTTTATCGCATCTTTTAATTATAAGTAAACAGCGTTCAGATATGAAAAAGTTGAAAAGAATTCATTTCCTCAAAACTTTTGTTACTGAAATATCGAATATTGAAGTAACTCTTGCAAATATCACAGAAAATTTACTGCAATTATAATTATTGTGAAGAATATAACTCTCTCATTGACTTTTTGTGCTATGATCAAGAAGATTTGAACATATCGATGTTCATACTTTTTTTAATATATATTTTTCAAGTGTGATATGTTCCATAAATGGAATACATGTCAAATAAGAGTCAAGATCATCACCTTTCATTCCAGAAACATTGAGTAACATAAGAGTCTTTATATCTATATAAATATAATCAGGAAAAACATGATAAACATATTTCATGAAAATGAATGTTTTCTTAAAAGTATTCTTCTTAATAAATATCTCTATTGGCAATCTATTGATTTCTACAAATGAAAAGTTATATTTGATTTTTTTATAACTATAAATTTAACATTAGCAATAAATTAATTTAAGAATTTTATTTTATTATGTAATTCATGAAAAGATCTTATCTAAAAATACTGAATTACTTTTAATCAATATTGTTATTATTCTTGAAGTTCAATCGAAAAATCGAACATATATTTAAAATAAATTCCTCTAAGTATATGTTTTTATTTTCAAATTTTTTAGATTTTATAAGAATCAGATATCACTTTAAAATGTTTCTATAGTTATAATGATCTCCATGAAAGATTGAAGATAGATAAAAAAAAAATGCATGATCAAAAAAGCAATGATGAAGTGTTTCTAGAAAATTTTAAATAATAATAAAAATATAGCAAAAAAAATTCTTAACATGATTCTATTCAGTTCTTTAGTAATTACATTATAAACAAATATTTATTGGAAGAAGAATAATACCCTACCGTTTGGCTACCTTACAATATAGTGTGATGTTCGACAACAGTTTCCACTCAATCACTTGAACTTCCTATGTACATTGACTAACCACATACTAGCTACAGGAACTGGTATATGTCACAATGTAATCATTATGCTGTCGTACGGGTGATCCGGAAAAAACAGTTGGTCTAGATCATTCTGTTTCTGATTGCATCGAGACTCTAACTTATAGTACGTGATAGTACAAATCGAACAGCTTAATTACTCAACTATGCCAGCAATATCAATTGAAAATCGATGGAAAGCTTATATGCAAATATATTGATAAAATATAGCACTAAACTAAGGCAGCAAAAATTGATCAAAACATATATATATAAAGTGAGATAAAATGATCCTCGTTCGATGTGCATAAAGTCGAATTCGATCAATTTTTTTATTAAAGGTTATATTTCATTGTTAGTTAAATTTTAAAATTTCACTTACGAATGTGTAATTTAGATATTTTTTTTCTCACATGCACTTATATTTTCCATCTATAAAAGAAGAAGTGCAACAAATGATGAAATAAATTTGATCAAATAAAACAATCGGTTAAGTCATTGCTCTCGTAAGTAAATTGACATTTCGAATTCTTTCACCGGTAGCCGAATCTTTTTAATCTCTAAGTAAAAAATTAATTTGAAAACAAAAACAACGAGCATATCATAATCAAGTGCCACAAAAAAAACTATCCAGAAGCCTAAACTAATACCTATAGGTATTAACAGCAAGATCAACAAAAATATATAGACTAATCAACTGCTGCTCAAACCTGAAATTTAGGAGCATATGAAACTGTTCCAAAAGATGACAGCATCAGCGATATTAGCGGTAAATATGGTAGCGTTTGACTAATCCCTTCTATATGTTAACTTTAGACAGCGATTCCAGAAATGATCTATGAGCTACAAACACTCGGAACATTGATTATTTACTATAAATCTACATTTTCAAGTGAAAAAAAAATCGATGTATCATATTGTATCGATAAACCGTCTTATTTAGGAGTAAAATGAATTAACAAATGAGTTGAATTGAAATGGGCGTTATATCAATATTCTTGAGCATATCCTTTGCTTGCATGATTTTTAAAAATCATATAGATCAAATCGTAACTTCTTCCAAAAGATAGCTTTTAAATAAACACTCAGCTATTTAATTCTTTCATAGACATTCACAAAGTCCAAGATTATTTAAGTCTGCTATTCAATTTGGATCTTCTATACTAATTTCTAAGTGCCACTTGATAAGATTGTTTCAGCAGTATCGAAATACCTTGTATTGTGCTAGCTCTATAAACTCCAGACCTATACCCTGTATAGAATGTTGAACAACTTTAATTTGTATGTATTTCTTTTTAAGAATTTTCATACTAAAAAAACTTGTGTCTTCAAATTTAGCTTGGCGATGATACTGCAGAATGTAGCTTTTAAATGAAAAATTTGAAAGTTGCTTCATTTCAAAAAATATTCTCAGGTTAAACAATCAAACGGTTAGATGTTCCATAATTCCCTGCTGATGTTTTATAATCTTTTAAAAATCGAACGAAAACATACGAGAATCAAGTCTTGTCATAAGATTCTTAGTAGATCTGGCTAATTTACAAGATCGTACAGATAATATGATTTTGTCTAAATCGTACTTCAATACTTGATGTAAGTTCTTCGGGAATTACGATTTCTTGTATGCTTTTCATATGAATTCGTCTGTTTTGCGCGATCTTAGGTCTGATTCTTTTGATCTACATACATCATTTCTATTTCAATTCTTTGAAACCAACATATTTAATAGTAATACTTGTATCATGACAAAATACAATCAACTTGGATGGCTTACTATCTCTAAGACTGATTTTTAACTCAAATGACACTTAATCAACCTAAATATATTTTTTTATAAATTTCTCAAAGATCACTCGTTTATTTGCAGCTTCTTTTTTTCGAAACAAAATATCTAAATCGAATTGAAAGATAATTAATTTTGAAAAATAAAATAAAAGAATGACATGTTTAGTTTTCTGTGAAAAAGTATTCATTTCTCTTCTATATATATATATATATCAGATGAACATTTTATTTTTTTAAATTTTCAATTTAGAATGAAATATCAATTCAGTTCAGAATTAATTTTTTGTCTCTTTTAAGATCATGATTTTCGATCAATAAAATTGTAAATAATATATTATATGAATTGATTATTAGTCTTAATTTTGTCAAATTTTTCTTTAAAAAAAAGAACTTGTAGTTCATGTTTCACATACTGCTTCATATATATAATACAATACTTTCATACACGTTCAACAATTGCTGAATAAACAAGAATAAATATTGAACCGAGATTCTATTGGCTCAAATTACTATGAATAAGTTACATACAATTCCATGTATGAAGTACGTATATGTAGTTTATCTCAACGGATATGTACACATGACAATGGTTGTTTATTTATAGTCAGACGCACCCATCTGAAGCGTGTAAATACTTTCTAGTTCTGTTTGTAGGCAGATCTTTTATTGAACGACATTTACCATCTTCATATAATCCTGTCACATATTTCTTCTGTTATTGTTTCTGATTGACTTTTTTCCATGGAAAGATATAAAGATCAATTGACATTAGATCAAGTTGGTTGTTGTTCGTTGTCTTTTTTCTGTTTTTTTTTTCTTATGGGTTGTAGTTCACCTTTTCGTTGTTATTTTCATGCCGTTCATTGAAAATAAACTGCCACATCTAATCTGAACACAAGCAAAAAATGACACTTTGCTTTGTTTGCTATCTATCTCTACTTGCATTTCTATTTTTTTTTTACAAAGAACAGTGGAGAGTCAATCACTTTTTTTTTCTTGTTATATCACCATAATATTATGCATGACTGATCACTGTAGCAACTTTTAGATTAAAAAGCGATGTCGTCTATTTCTCGCTGTTATTTATTTTTCTTTTCAGTCAGCAATGAAGAATGGGTACACTAGAATTGGTTGTTCGTGGCCATTAGAATTTAGTTATTCTTCTCCTGTTATATAATATTTTCATCGGTGAATTGAGTGTGAGTGATTCATTCTCTCTTTCTTTTATTCATACATTTTCTTGCCAGTATCTATCTCTCCATTAATCTGCGTACTTGATCACAAAAGACACATCTTTCATATCTATTCAATGAACAATCTCATTGTGAGCCGACACACGCTCAATGACAAATATAATACTTTTTTAATGATTCTAGTAGATAAAGAGTTACGTTTTTTTTTTACATACGAAAGGCAAAATCATAGTATATAGGGCACCCAGAAAGTAACTCAACAAAAAAATACTTCAGTATGTTCAGTATACTTCAAACAAAAGATTTAATTTTCTTTTCTGATGCCCAGTCAGAAAGACTGTTTGAAAAGCGTGTTTAAACGGATTAAACTTTCATGAAAAACGAAGTTTTTACGATTTTTCGAACGCATGAAAACCCAAATTTTTTCCACAGGTTTTGTAGTTTTACCCATTTGCAGTTTAATTTTACGAGTTTTTATCAAGTTCCACAGCTTGAACGCGTATTAACCCGAAAATATTAGTTCAAATATACGTTTTTATGCGTATTTTTCTGAACGAACATCATTATATTCGACAATCACTCATTTTTCTTCAGTAATTCAACGCGTTTAAACAAATTTGTCTCTTAAGATTACTTTAAAACCAGAACTTTTAGTCGGATTATTTGTGTTAATATCAACACATCTGATGTGAAAATTATTTTCTATAGATCTCTGTAATTTGTTTTTGGCAGATTTTACTATGAACATATTGAAATGGAAAAGAACGTTTTTATGATTTTTTTTGCCTGATCAGTATTGTCAATGCATTTTAGCCTCTTCAATCCCGCATGCCATCTACAAGATAACATGCAGAACGCAAAAAAAAATATTTAGCGTTCTCTCATCTTGTTAGGCGACAGATATCATACGATGTGTATCGAGAAAAATCGTTTCTTGTAATTGTCAATATTGACACTGAACTTAAAACGCAGCTGGTTTTTTATTTGTGTGCGCGCAGAAGGCAAGAGCATGTCGGGCTTGAAAGGATTAAGTTTTTCATGAATCGATATCTCTTTAGAAAAGTACAGCACACTGTATACTCTGGTTCTGAATGAATTTAATAGTATTGCATCGTCAGTCTCAGAAAATATTTTGACTCCATAAAAAATGATTTACATGATCCAGCAGTTTATAAAGACGGTGAAATGTATTTTCTATTTTTCTCCTCGATCCATATTCTAATGAATCGAAAAAAAAGCACTTTGACTTACACACCAACTTAATGGTATAAAAGTTCTTCTGTTTTTTCTATTTATTAATCTGAATTTCGTTTTCGATTTGAATCAACATTTCTTGAAAACAAACACAAAATTCGAGACATCGTGGCACCATCTATAACGAAACCTTTCAGTTTTATCTGAAGTGATGGAATTAAAGCTAAATGACCTTCAGATTAATAAATAAAACAAAATTGAAGAATTTTCTGTGGGAATTTTATCTAATGAAATTGGTGTGTATGTCAATTTACTGCCTGTTTATCTTGGAATACTCGAAAACTTTCACACAAAGTACAGCGTTGAGATGAGATTCTTATTGTCAGAATAGTTTCTACTGTACAGTTTCATGTGTTATGGTCAACTTTGAACTACAAATAAGTTTTTCAATAAATCGAAAAATTCAATAAAAGATGAATATGAGATTTTTCATTTTTTTTTATTTACTGAGCTTTTCATAGTACTAATATCATCATCAGGTTAATAATAAAAAAAGATTTTACTATCAAAGATAGATATATAGGCTATTCGAATAGGTTCAATGTCTAATTGTTCATTAACTACATCTGAATAATTCAATGGACAAGATTCATGAACCGTTGAACTTTGAATCTATTCTAATGTGTACATAGAGGATTTATTTCTATGTGAAATGAATAAAGTAAGAACGAAAAACAAATATTAAGCAACGATATCAAGATCTATATTCATACTAATAGATCATAACGTAATATTTATTGTGTGAACTTTCTTTTTTGTTGTGAATGAAAAATAAAATGAAATTCTATTCGTTGAAATAGATCATCACTGAGCGTTGTTCATATTTTACTGAAAGAACATTTTGATAAAGGAGGGCATCTTTTTTAGAGGGTCATACCGCTAAGAACCATTACACACGTATATTTTCATCAAGGACATTTACTCTGAAAGACTTTTTTTGAATGGATAAACAGTCGATGACATTTCGTATAGGAATTCTTTTAAAAGATTTTCTATGCAGTTGTTCTCATGGAACATGAATAAACATGTGACTTATGTTCCTAAGAATGGAAACAACATTTCAGATTCCAGTTCCTAGGAACATAACAGAAAAATTATACCTCTAATCATGAGTATGAGTGTCGTTCTATTTTATTTTCATTCCATTATCGATACTATTAATTTCTCAGATTTTGTTTGTACTTATTATATATTTGTACGTTTTATTCCTCGATGCTGCAAACACAGTAAAGAATTTTTTATCGGAGATAGAGCATCTGCAAAGGTTACTTCATCTATGAATCAGGTGTACTCACAAAGACTACTGTTTTCACTTTTTAGCTTTATTTTCAGATTACGAAAAAAAAACAACTATGAGCGGAGATCAAAAATTTTCTGAAGTAGATAATCATTTAAAAGAAGCTCAATCATCAGGAATCGCAAACACATGGCTGACAATATCATCAATGGTATCAGTTAAAAATCAGTCAGCAGCAATAATCAATAAAGAAATCTCAGAAGAAGATAAAATGCGTTTACCATTAAAAATTTTTGATGGGAAAAAGGCATCAATTAGTGATTTAACTCACGCATCAAGTTCGTATTTATGGTTGAGAAGAATCAAGGAAATATTTTTAATGTTCGGAACAAATGCTGAAGATGATCCCCTTATCATACATGATACGATTTATGCTCGAAACGAAATGATGGAAACAACTGAAATATTTTTAGAAAATACTAGACCAAAGCGACGAACAGAAGATCAGGTATGAGTTGTACTACGACTAGACATGTTAGCCACCGCCGACTTAAGTTACAATAACCTTCTTTATTATCACAAAATAATTGATATTTTTCGCGTATAAGGAAGGACTCAAAAGTTTTAGTAGCAATATCAGTCTTTCATAAAAACTATTTTGACATTAGGTAATTTGTTGCTTTCTGCCATATTCGAAAGTAACAATTTTTTAGATGTGCCTCGAATTAGAGATGCTTAAAGTACAGCTACGTATATTTTTATCATTGTGGATATTTTTTAAAGCTAAATTTTAGTGGTCATCAAATTGTATGATACATTACTCTGCCGTCTTTGAGATATTTTCACTTTCTCATAAAAATACTTTCAAAAATTTTCAGAAAACTCTACACGAAGTTTCTCATCGAGTCTTTCAATGTGAAGCTCAAGACATTACAAGAATACCATCAATAGGCGTTTAGAAGACTATGGTATTGCTCACACATTCTTACCTTACTCAAAAGATTCTCCTAATAAGTTCTAACTGTATCTATAGATTTTGTTTAAAAAAAAATTTAAACCTACATTTTTTGTGAATATCCCAAAGTTTAGAACAAATTTTTCAAAATATTGATCGTTGACAAAGAATTTCAACTCTTGTCACGAAGATTTTCTCAAATCTTATTGAACTAAACAATTTTCTTCGTTAAAAACAATACTAATAGCTTGATAATTTTCCAAAAAAATAGTTTATATTGTAAGACCCAACCGCCACACTGTTTACACTTCACTACTAAGTGCCCTTCTTCAAAAGAATCCTTTATTCCTAGGGTTAGAAATACCATAGGAACAAGAGCTGATTCACATTTGTTGGGGAAATATTTTCTCAATACTGCCAGCACTATCAAAAATCTGTTGAGTAGCATGTAAAAATATCATACTAATTACCATTTTTATTATTCAACATTATAGATGATCATCAACAAAGAACACGAAAGCAAATGGGAAAAAGAAAAATTAGCTGTGCACAATTTCCAACAAAAATTTTATCGACAAAATACAAATATGAAAACAACGGTAGGAACAATAATGAAATCTGGATTCTAAGTAATATTGTAGGTTTTTATGTACTGTTTCTATTTATGTCAACTTTCTTGACTACTAACAGAAAAATCACGTATGTGTAGTTTACAAAGTAGCAACGATGATAAAACATAAGACAGTCAGCACTAGTAAAAATGTAAAGCTCATCTGATGATATCCGGAAAAAAATTATTCAACAATTAAACGCGTGTGATATATGAAAAACAAAAAAATCTGCTCTTTCTCTTAAATCCACAATAGATTCGTCTTATAGTAGACTGCTTGATTGGAAGTGACCCATCTTTAATGTTCGGTGTTCATTGAGACAACATTTTTTCAGAATCAGAAGCAATAAAACCTTGTTCCATTCATGTCTGAGTCAAGTAAAGAAATAATTTCAGCGACTACAATCAATATCTATGTCTAGTGATGATATATTCGTTGTTATTTAATAGGCAGCCATCATGGACTCAGAGACAAATCGTCCAATGCATTATTCGAACAGTATCTGGTGGTATTCATGGAATGAGGCATTTATTTATCGGCAAATCAATAATATTTTACGTATGGAAAATTTCGAATTGTTAATGTCCTATCGCTATTTCATTAGTGACCTATGTCAAATGATTAAACAAAATTATGATGAACAATACGAACGACGTCCATCAATAGTATTTCGAGCAGAATGGATTGATCAATGTCAATTTGATAATTTAAAAAAGGCATCAACCGAAAAAGGACATTTAATATCCATGAATGGATTTATATCAACAACTACGGATAGATCAATATCTACTTTATATGCTAATAAACAATGTTCAAGGCCAAATGTTGTATCAGTTGTGTATGAAATTACCATTGATCCATCTCGATCATGTACAGAATTTGCTTGCATTGAAGATATTTCTTATCATCCAGAAGAAAAAGAAGTTCTATTTAGTATTGGTGCAGTTTTTTCAATCGATTCTATATGTGATCCTGTCGAACCGAATCATTTCTATACAGTTCAATTAACAGCTTGCGAATACAATGAATCAGTAATTGATGATATGAAATTAAAACTACGAAAATATACACAAGCAGAACTATATATATTATTAACTAAATATTTAATTGAACTTGAGCAATATCGTACAGTTAGAAAATCATTAATTAATTTATTAGATAATTCAAATGTTCTCGTTAAAGACGACTCATCATTAGCAGCAGCATATAATTGTATGGGTGAAATATATTCACGACAAAAATTGTTTGGCGATGCAATGCTATATTATAAACAAGCATTAAAATATCAAGTACGACTTGATTCATCGAACAACAATGCTCTAGCAGAATGCTACAATAATATTGGTTCAGTTTTATTAGAACAAAAATATTTTTATGAAGCCTTAGAAAATTTAGAAACAGCACTTCGAATTCAAAATCGTGAGCCAATTGATAAAAAACATTTAATAGATATTTATACAAATTTGGGACGTGTTTATGCATCGATAGAAAATTATGAGGAAGCAGAAAAATGTTTCGATAAAACAGAACAATTCATCAAACAAGCTAAAAAAGAAATTGCATATGATGCTCTTGAAAAACGCTTGATAGAAGCGCATACTATATTTCACACAATTTTATTTAAAGAACAACGCGACAAGAAAATAAAGCCTTATGATTATTTGAGAAAGTACTACTTATATGCTGATGGTTATAACAATGCAAGCAAAATTTATGAAAATATTTTGCCACTCACACATTCGAAATTAATAAAAATAATGA